ATACAACAAAAAGGCACTGAAACCAGCTTAAAGGGTTGCCCAGAGGACAAATTGGAGACCATATGGACACCAAAAATCAACATTAACCATGGTTTATCATCTATTGAATAAAATAGGAAAATACAAAACAGTGTAGATATAAATAAATAAAGAAAACAGCAAATCTGCCTAGTTTCAAAGCACCTCTCTACATATATTAATTACAAAGAGGAAAAGAATAATGTCAAAGAATAAATGACTGATGGACAGCACCATCATCCCAATGACCACCATAAGTAATGAGACAAAATGGAATTATGCAGCCCTGATAGAACATGATGTGGACACACCATTATGTCTCTGATTCCTGCCAACAAGGCATGACCTCCCCCTCTTCAGAAGGAAACATAAGACATTCCAAACTGAAGTATATTGTACAAAATAGCTGGTCTGCAATCTTCAAAAGTGGTAAGATCATGAAAGCCAAGGAAAACTAAGCAATTGTCCCAGACTGAAAGAGACCAAAGAGACCTGAGATCACAGGTGTCTCTGCTCTGTGTCTTTTGCTACAAAGGACATTAATGGGAAAATGAAAGAATCTGAACAATAGTAATAGGCAATGTGAATTCCCGGATTTTGTATGGTTATGCAGATCATGGCACTGTATTCCTACACTAAAGCATTTGGGTGATGGGATAACACACTGGCAGTTCACCTTAAAATGGTTTAAGGAAGAAAAAAACACACACACACAAAAAAACTCTCAGAACTGGATTGGCAACTTATTGGCAGACTTATGATTATTTCAAAGTAAAAGTAAAAATGTTGTAAGATTATATTTTTTTTTAAAAAAAAGCATGCAGTAAAAAGACTATAGGAAATCCTCATACATCAATAATCACCATAAATGTAAATGGATTGAATTCACCAATAAAAAGGCATAGAGCAGATAAAAAATAAACTCAACTTCATACTGCCTTCAGGAGACACATTTCAGCTGAAAGGACAAATATAGATTCAAAATGGGAAATGATTTTCCAATCAAAAGGCATCCAGAGAAAAGTGAGTGTACCCATACTTATATTTGACAAAATAGTCTTCAAGATAAAAAAAAAAACAAGAACAAGAAAAAAGATGGACATTTTATAATAATAAATGGGACTATACATCAAGAAGGCATAACTTTTTAATATATATGCACCCAATCAGGAAGCATCACCCTATCTAATAAAGAGGGAATATGCTAATTGACTTTCACACTGTTGCAAAGATGGCGGTGTCCACAGGCAATAAGGAGGGAATATGCTAATTGACTTCCTTTGGAGTCCCCCACACCCTGAAGCCCCCTAGCAGCCCAGGGTCAGCCGAGGTGCAGGCAAGCCTTGGATGGTGGCTGCCCAGCCAACACCCAAGGTGCAGGCAAGCCTCAGATGTTGACTGCCCAGCTGCCCAGAGCTGGCCCAAGGCACAGGCAAGCCTCAGATGGCAGTTGCCCAGCCACACAGGGCTGCCTGAGGCTCAGGTAACCAGAGCCGGCCGAGGCTTGTGCTGCCAGCAGTGGCAGCAGCAGAGGTGTGATGGGGGTGCCACCTTCCCCTGATCATTGGGTTGCCTCCCACCCCTTAGCGCTCCTGTACTGTGATAGGGGGCAGGCTGGACTGAGGGATCCCGCCCCTCCTTCAGTGCATGAATTTTCATGCACCAGGCCTCTAGTAATATATAAAACAACTACTAACAAAACTAAAAGGAAAAAAATGATAAAAAACAATTATACCTGATTAACAGGTATAGATTTATCATTCAAACAGAAAATCAATAAGGAAATAATGGCCTTAAATGACACATTAGACCAAATGGACATAATTGACATTCACAGAGCCATTTGTCCCAGGACACCAGGTTATACATTCTCTAGGGCACATGGAACATTTTAAGGATAGACCGTATGTTGGGACTCAAAACTAAAAATTAAACATCATATTTAAATATGTTAGGAAATATCCATAATTTTCAGCTATTACATTCGTTTCCTAAATTAGATGATATGTCATAGTCCGAGGATGAATTTTACTTCAGGACAAATGCTGGTAAGATGAATTTCCTGAGAACAGCAAACTCTGCTACTCAACAGGAAAGGGGACTAAGGTTAGATATCCTATTAAGTCAGTATTTTGGTTAACAGACAAGTACTCCATGTTATCAATGGCAATGTTAAAAAATTAAAATGAAACAAAACTGTTTAGTATGGGTTCATGCTCAATAAAATGCACTCTTTCATTGATGGTTTAGAAAGCAGGGTGATATTGATCATCACTGATGGGCAATCTCTTCTATCAAACCAATATTTTCTGAACAATTATACCACAACAATCTGTAGCATTTTGACTTACACACATTTTCATTAAAACAATTCAATAAAGTGTTTTTCCTGCAACACAAACCAGTGTTATTTTTTGGTTATGGTTTCAGCTCTCTTCATTATTTTTTAAAAATATATTTTATTGATTTTTTACAGAGAGGAGGAGAGAGGGATAGAGAGCTAGAAACATCAATGAGAGAGAAACATCGACCAGCTGCCTCTTGCACACCCCCTACAGGGGATGTGCCCACAACCAATGTACATGCCCTTGACCGGAATCGAACCTGGGACCTTTCAGTCCGCAGACCAACACTCTACCACTGAGCCAAACCGGTTTCGGCTCTTTTTCATTATTTTGATGTTTACCCAGGAACCTTCCATTTTAAGTCTACTGACACGTTTTGCCTTTCCCAGTCAAAGTATTCCTAAAAGGATGAAAGACTGACCTTATGTTTTTCCATCCCTTTCAATGGTATTCTTAAATGAAATACTATGAAATGAAGAAGTATTAATCTTTTTATTATTTCAGGATTATATTATCTGGCTAACTATTGATAACTATTTTTTGTTGGCTTTGGAAAGTTAACAAATAAAAATTTAAGATTACATTCTTTCCCTTCATTATGTTTTTACAAAAGAAAGAAAATAAAAGTTCTTAAAAAAAAAAAAACTCCATATGGTTATAACCTAGAATATGCCAGGTTCTTTGCAAAGCAACTTACTTTTTCCTTAAAAAAAAATTCTAATTGATCATACATCAATAATCACCCAAATATAAATGGACAGATATTATAATCTTCATCTCCCAGATATTTTCCTATGATATCTGCTCCAATAGACACTTACTGGTATATATGAATCAAGTGGTAGAAGAGACAGGTAAAAAATGTTCAAGGGATGCATCCCCTGGTAACCCAAACCAGGAAGGGGCCATGAGACATGTTTGAGTGCTTTTTGCAATGTGAGGAACTTTCATGCTATGATTTCATAATGTCTACAGGCAAAAACACACCTGCTGCCCGGCCCTGCAAGGGACCACCTTAGGCCGAGTTTAATGGCCCCACTAAAGGGTGGGTGGAAGAGTGAAATTTATGGGAGAAAGAAAAATACCCCATAAATAAGCTCAAGGGAGGCTCAGAAATGAAGGAAAAGGAGCAGAGCTCGGGAACAAAGGAACGTCTCCCACCTCCTCCCAGGCATGGCTGGGTTGTTTCTTATTTTAAAACACCCACCTTCATTCTTTCATTTGATTAGCTACTGACTGGCCTCCATCTGTGTCAGGCATGCAGGTTACAGGCCTGTGTCTACTCTGTTCAGAGAGTGGGACTGCACTGACGAAAAGCGTCGCTTTCCTCTGCTTCCTGGGGGGTGGACTCTTCTTCTTCTTTTTAAAATATATTTTATTGATTTTTTCCAAGAGAGGAAGGGATAGGGATAGAGAGCTAGAAACATCGATGAGAGAGAGACATAGACCAGCTGCCTCCTGCATACCCCCTCTCTGGGGATGTACCTGCAGCCAATGTACATGCCCTTGACCGAAATTGAACCTGGGACCCTTCAGTCCGCAGACTGACGCTCTATCCACTGAGCCAAACTGGTTTCGACAAGGGGGGTGACTCTTCTTAGCAATATCTGAACAAGTCACCATGAACCTGGAGCCTACCGTGCAAAATCAGGGGCCATTGCCTTCACAGGGGCTCAGTGCTCAGAGGATGTTTCACAAATACAGGCTGCTCTTTATGAGCATTGTGTTTTAAATGATGAGAGAGAAATATTGAGAAGAGTAATCAATCCCTAGAAAGCATTCCAAGTAACAGAGATTACTACAGAACCAAGCGTCATCCTCCAGGTCTGTCTCATGTTTCCAAATAAAAGAACCCATCAAGCACATGACAACTAGTTTCTAAGATTCCCAAGGGCTCAGGTGACCCACGTCTTAAATCATCTTTATGATGATAGTGCTGTTCTTCACTACTCTTCCCCTCTTCTCCCCCGATGCATCTCTTTGGCACCACAGCTGCATCTCTTTCATTTGGTTCCAATAGAGCAAACTAAAATACACCTTTTACAGGTAAAAAGGAGACTATTAGAAATAACTCTAAACCCCTAACCCTCGTGTCTACAGATGGATGTAACAAAAAACCAAATCACATTTCAAATGCTTTTAACTAATTAAATGGGTGGCTTCTTTGAAATGCCATTTATAAGTAAAGCTAAATTTGCTGTTATCACGGTTTTAAAAAACTTTCTAAAATATCCATGGACCTGCCAGATTATTAGAAATGGATAAATCTTTTGTCCTCTGTAAAGACAGGTAGGAGAGAATTATGAATTTAATTACAGAAGTCAGTTCACTCTAAAAATAAGAGTGCTAAATTATAATGTATAATGAGAATAGCTTTTAACCATCAAAATCACACCGCCATTCAGCAATCAGCAAAATGGAATTGCCATTTCCAACTTTCACTGTTGCTAATTGCTAAGTGACTGTTGGTTCCACTGATGGAGGGGTGTGTGTGGCTGGATACTCATTAGCAATACTCAGAGTCACGGTCAGAGAGCAAAACTTAAGCCCCTGCCAGGTATGAAAAGTCACACTTGGAGCAGGCGTGTGGCACCTCGGGCACTCCCAGCAGGACGGGAAGGTCACCAGGTCACATACCTGCCAGACCAGGTGCTCCTTGGCCTCGGGTGTCGCAGACAGGCAGACGCTCAGCACAATGGTGTGGGAGGAGGAGGTGAGCACACTGGCGATGATGGCATCTCGCATGTTGAAGGGCAGCATGGTGTAGACCACGAAGATGATGAAGAGGAAGAAGGACACCTGTGGGTGGAAAGGAACAGCAAGAGTCATAGAGAATTCCCATTCCCAAGGGCTTCCAGGCTCCTTCCCATTATAGGCGGCACAAAACATCAAGAACTACACTTGTTTAAAAATATGGTTATGACAAAGCCAAACAGTGTAGTGAAAAACAAAAACAAAACAAAACAAAACAAAAAGCCCTGGATTACAATATAGGACTATTATAATGGTAAAAAAAAAAAAAATCACATCACCTTTTTTTCAAATTTGGGGATTTCCAGTTTTGGTATCCAAACAATGACAAACATTAGGTTAGTCAAACTACTTCATGGTTATGGGTGCAAGGCTGGTCCTCCACCCCAAAGGATGGCTATATGAGCTGTGGAATGCACATCTGGAACCTTTAAGTTATCTATGGCATGATTTCAGAGGACCCAAGAAGGGAAATAGGTACCTTCTGGGGGAGTTAGCGAAAATAGATCACTGCAATGAGTATGAACATGTAAAAAACAAAACAAAACAGCATAGAGGTGGTTTAGCTGTTATGAAAACAGTTTGGCAGTTTCTCAAAAAGTTAGACATGGAATTACTGTGTGACCCAGCAATTCCATTCCTCAGCATATACCCTACAGTACATTACATACATACTGAAAATAGCACTAACCACAATAGCTAAAGGTGGAAACAGCACAAATGTCCAACAAGAGATGCATGGATAAAGCGCAAGTGATATATCCACACAATGGAACACTATTCAGCTATGAAAAGGAAGAACATACTGATACCTGCTACAATGTGGATGAATCTCAAAAAAACATTATGCTACATGATCAAAACCAGGGCAAGAGACCCCATATTGTATGATTCCATTTATATGAAATATCCAGAATAAGTAAATGTATAGGGAAAGAAAGAAGATTAATGGTTTCCAAAGGCTGGAGAAGGGGGGATGAGAAGTAAGTGCTTAATAGGTACAGGGATTCCTTTTAGGGCAGTGAAAAACATTTGGGACTAGATAGAGATGGTAGCTGCACAGCATTGTGAATAAAAGGACATTTTAGTACTAAAGACTACTAAATTCTTCCCTTTAAAATGACTAACTTATGTTATGGGAATGTTATCTAAAAAAATCAATATGAAACAGCTTAAAGAAAGGTTTGTAATGAAATAGAAAATGATTAATAGGCAATAACACAGGCCATTTTCATTACAAAAGAAGTTGAAACAAAAGAACATCAAAATGGATAAAAAAGGTTGTAAATAAAGTAGGAAAAGGACAGACAACAGGGACATTTGGAGAGTAGCATTTGGTGAGCCTTGTCAACAGTTCTTCACTCAAAAGCAAAAGGGGAGCTAAGGGCAGAGCATGCCCCACATTCACAACATGACCCATGTTTAAGGATCCTAAATCCTAGCACAGCAGGAAGGACTGGAGACACCTTGCCAGCTGCTCTGAGAGCTGGGCTATGTGTTCATAGAGGACAAGCCTAGGGCCCTGCTCCTGATGGATGTAATGAGAGGGACTTCTGGGAAAGCATTAGGTTTGTCTACCTTCATGTGTAGTCATGGGACTCTGCATCACATATTACATAGAAAAGGACTGAGACCGAGATTCTGTGCAGCAGAATACCTCAGCAGCAGCAGTACTGACATTTGGGGCGGGACAACTCTTGGTGGTGGGCACCTTTCTGTGCAATGCAAGATGTGCAGCAGCATCCCTGGCTCCTACTCACTAGAGGACAGGTACACTGCCCTCTTTAAAGTCGTGACAATGTCTTCTAAAGGGTAATATCGCCTCTGGCTGAGAACCACTAGGCTATAGAAAAAGTTTCTTTTAAGACAAGAAATATAACTCTTGCATAGTCATGGCTTACCGAGAAAATGAAATTTTCTTTGGAATCCCTCATCTCCAAAAAATATACAGGAAATATTTTCAATGAACTTATTTTTATGTTTATACATAGCATTTATGCAAAAACCTTATATCCTACAAGAGGTATTAAATGAATACTTTCAGGTATAAAAAAATTACGATCAAGAACCAAAGAAAATCTCTGTTTTATAACTATATGTTTTTTCTCCTAATAAAAAACTTCTTTGAAATTATCAGTACTTTGAACAGCTTAATTTTGGACAGCTTTAAACCTTTAACATTATTTCAATTAGCATACAATTTTGCAAACATCGTGAGCTTTGAAATAGAAGCGTGTGGAAGGCTTATCTATGGTAACCAAATGGAGAATAGACGTTCAGTTTTCCAAATACCATTGGTCCTGTTAAGTGTTCCTTTTTAAAGGACAAAATGAATTTTAAAGGTCAATTAAATAAGTCACGTTAAATTAAGTTTTGGAAGTCCACAGCAGCATCTTGGGAGCACAGCTCGTGGTGCCTGAGTAGCACCTACTGGCTGGAAGGAGAGGAAGAAAGTCAAGTGCAGTCCAAGTCCCACAGGGAAATGTTCTTCACTTTTTACTAATCCCAGAGGTTTCTAATTTTTCCCCCAGTCTGCTTCCCAAAGAAACTTGAAATAGGACCATATGTAAATCAAAATAAATTTGGCATATCTAAAGAATGTGTGGGTAAAAGTCTCCAAGAAGTCTAATGTAGTCGCTTGGGTTTCCATGTTACCATGGGGAATTGTCCGTGACTGAGATTCCTCGAGGATGAATCTCTGTCCGAAAGATGGAGAAGGAAGGGCCATTGGTGAGATTACTGGGACATGCAGAGAAACTCAGATTAACACAATTCCTGAAGAGGGAACACTCATTCCAATAACATGTTTCAAGTGTTTCTCCTCACTCTAGTCCATCCAGCATTTGCATGTTGCAGATCTACTTGAACCTTAAGCTCCATAGGTTTCAAACCAACTAAGAGCCTCTCCTTTAAGTTCTTAAATCACAGGAGTAACTTAATTCTACGCATGATGTCTCTGTCCTCAAACAACCCAGGTGAAAACTTCAGAATCTCCTATGACACTTTTCTTTCATGTCCACACTCGAAGATGTCTTCTTACTTTATGATTTTAGTGTACTGCACTTGGCCCATTATTTTTCAATTTGTTTTAAATATATGCTTCCAACATGTTGCTTTATCTTGTTATCCCATCATTCTACCAGCCCACCCTCCCCTTAAAAAAACCCACATGCGTCTATACTTTCTCTCACTTCTCCTGATCCTCAGCATGGATATCAAGGTGTGTGTCCTTTCTCATCTTAGTTTTGATTCATTCCATTCTCCATGCTTTTGCTAATCAGTAAGACTCTTACGCAAGCATTTCTAGCTTCCCTCCTTCTGGGCACATGGTTCAATCAACATTTTTTCAGTTAAGCCAGGCCAGTCCGACTTGCTTTGACAAATGAAGTGTGAGTAAAAGTGATAGGTGTCCTTTCTGGGAGGGAATTTTCAAAGTCCTCTGGGCAAGTTTTGCACTAGCTTAGTCATGAAGACACGACATTGGAGCTCCTCTGAGCCTTGGGGTCACATGAGGACCAGAGCTTCTAGGCTGATCTACATAGCCAAGTGCAGTCCAAGTCATGAGTGAGCCATAATCCTTTGTGGTGGGAAGCTCCTGGGTCTCAAAGCACAGCGAAGATGACCCTGAGGGATGCCAAGCTCAGACACACACTCACACACACCACACACACACACGAGGATTTATTGATAAAACAAATAGGACGCTTTTTTGCGCATAATTCTATAATTTGTTCTTACCACTGAATTATATATCATGAGGTTCCTTCCAAGTCTGCCCACCATGTCTCTATCTGCAAACAATTCAGGTGAAAAGTTTTATCAGTTGAAAATATTCCATAGTACTGGATGCACTAATTACTCCAGCATTTCCTTACTGATGGCGATTCATTGCATGATAGGAATCCCATATCCAACTGCTGCAGTCATACTCTCACTAATTTCCCTTTCTCCAAAATTTTCCTTTCTCCAATCCAGCCAACATGTAGCTGCCAGCTTCATGATTCTGAATGCAAAGTTCTAACTGGTTCCTTCCTTGGATAAGCATTTCCTCTGGCTTTCCCTGTGCTCTGAACACATCTATCAAAAGGTTCTTATGATCACAGAGTAAAGTGGAAACTTCATGGCCTGAAAGTCAAGACTCTCCCCAAACTGACCTCTTCATCCTTTTCCATCATGCTCTGGAAGGATCCTCTGCTCCTGCGAACCTAGGTTAATCCCATGCTTTGAGCATGGGGGTGCTCACCTGTAGGTCTGAAATTCCCTACCACCAGAATGTCCTCTCTCTTTTTTGATAGTCCTCATGACCTGCTTTGCTGATTCACAAAAATTACAGTTCTAGGTTTATTTGTTAATTTTCTTTCCCCCCAGTGTAAAGGTCAATGACCTTTGAGGGCAGAGACTTGATTCACTCATAGCCAAAACCTCAATGCCTAGGAAACTACCTTTGCATAGTAGGTGCTTTACAAATGTTTGCTGTCTGCATAAAAAAACTATTACACGTCCTAATATGAACCAAGTTATATCAACTCTATTAGCATCTACTCATTAAATGAATCTCTGAAAACATTCTGTCATTCTCTTTGGTTTAATTAGTCTTGCCATTAACCATAGCCATGCTGAATTTCGAATGATCATTTGTCTATTCAGTAGACTAATTACACTAAAAACCCAAGTGAACAGTCATTTGTTAATGTCTATGGCAGGCAGCAGCAGATACTGCATTAAATATGAGACATTCTTGTTCTCAGAGAATCTCCTATTTTGTCAGCCTTTGGGAGCCCGTGTGTCCTGCAATCACACAAAACAAACAAGAAAACAAACAAACAAACAAACAAACAAACACCTCTTCTAGTCCTAAAGGCATAAAGCTAGTGTTAACCTACAGAAGAAAAGAGTGATCCAGGCTAAGGATGTTTATTGCAGCAGCGAGATTTCCTAGGCTGCTCCTCTGCCTCAGCTTCTTAGAGGTCAACTCAGAGGAGCTGGTGCCTTTCAATTCCCAAACATAACTTACCCTTCACCCATTATGGCAGCTGACAAAAAAGATG